GGACGACCTGCATTTAGGTGACAACTTCAGCTACTCTTTTATTTCCAACTTGAGCTCTGAGAACTATCCGAAAGGAGTGACTGACTAGCGCCCTCTATGGTCTGGTATCTTACACACCACGGTAATGGGTTTTAGTTGAACAGTGTTGGTAGGGCACAAGGATATCGTTACTCAGATTGGTTGGGCTGTGTTGAGAGTGGTCCACCACGGTAATGGGACAAGCTGGACGGGGCCAGTGGTGTGTTACCGAGCGGTAGTACTGTTCAAACTAGAATGTGATTGCAATAACAGGATGGAAGCACTACATCATTTGCTCAACATAGACAGGAAGGAGCAGGGCTAGCCAGAAGAACTAGTGCGGTGCATGACACAGATGTGTCTGTCTCAAGCATCGGTTGGGAAGTAATGGTGCCGGGCCACTTCAAAGCTACATCAACTCCATACATGTATACTAACATTACGGGCTAGTTTAGACCACATTACATTCAAGCTAAGCTGGCTGGATGTTCAGATAGCTAACCACGCACTTCACGATGGAAACAATATCAATCTACTCAAGTATACAAGTACAAAAGGACCTCTGCACTATGTTTGGTTTTGCATCATACAAGGTTTTGGTCTGCTGTACCTGACCATTGAGCTGAGGATATTTAGGCGTGAGGTCAAAATACAAATGCTTTTGAAAGCATCCAACGCTTTGTAAACGGTAAGCCTCACGGACGGTCAACATCGAACAGACGAATGCTTCAGTGAGGCTGGCCAAACCGTTGCGGTCGAGTACACCTTGCACTCTGCAGCTTCCAGTAAACAATGGACAGCTCATCGCATTACGGCATCATAGACTTCTGCGGTCTGGTGGATTGGTCATAACAATAGCTCTTTACTTTGCAGCTCCACAGGAGGATTTAGATCGGCAGACTGTTTTAAACATCCTGATAAAACACCTGTATTGAGTAGTTGTGTTGCGCTGTCAGTTTCCAGACCCAGTCTTTTCAGGTCTCAATACCCTGTAATCTTGATATTTTGTCTCAGTATCGTGAGTTAAATACACACTTAACTGTATACCTGCAGAATCGAATATACTAACTCGAAATACCATTTACCTGAATCATACACGACGTAGTGTTCTGTTCGCCAACATGTAGTTACAGATAAAACCTCTTTTTTTTTTG